AACCTGCAAGAGTCTTTGGAACGGGCGTATTTTCATGAGTAAACTCGGCTTCCACCAGTGATGGGCACCATTGACTAAATTAAACTATCAACTAATGACTATTTAGTCGCAACATACTATGGACTAATGACTATTTAGTCGCAACATACTATCGACTATTTAGTCGATAGTTTTTAGTCGACTGAAATTTTGCTTTATAGGTTATGTACAGATTATGTCGTCAACTTTTCAGCACCATTGGTGTATTTACCTTTTAGAAATGTATTAGTTCATAGATAGAATTTCAAACATATAAGTGGTAAACAAGTTTTCTTAAACAATCACTAATATTCGATTTTTTGTAAGCTATTTAATATTGGCACTTCAAAAATTAACTGCTCTAAATTTTTTATATAAATCAATTAGGTTATAAGTAATAATTTGCATAGTTCTTGGTAATGCATAAAAAAATATATGAAAAAATTGCAATTGCTTTGCATCACGAAGAAAATAATCAAGATCCAGTCAATAGCGATCAATAGCTCGATAGTTCGAACGAGTCGCTTGAAGCGATTAAATTTAATCGACTAAAGTAGTCGCTTCAAACGACTAAAGTAGTCGACGATTGAAAAAATTAGTCGACTGAAAGTAATCGTTGGTTACTATCGATTTAGTCGATAGGTTTTAGCCGATAGTGCCCATCACTAGCTTCCACTAGAAAAAAAAGTGGCGTATGGCCTCCCACCATTTGGTAAATTGATTTCAGATACTAAAACAAATGTTAAATCGAATGTCAATTTGGTATAAATTTCAGTAATTCCTAATACCAAGTGGTAGCAGCATGGTAGGAGGCCCTTCCCCTACGCCATTTTTTCCCCTAGCAGAAGCCCAGTTTGATCGTGAGTCGAGATTCCGCTAATGGACTGGTGTCCCTAGCGGCAAGAGTCCTCCAAGCGCCATTCATATCATCCACAGATAATTTTTGCCGCGTGTGGGTAGGAGGATTACAGTTTTACAGGTTAGAATTATTAGCGCACGGTGTCTATTAATGTCGAATTATTCTGGCTGCTTGTACACTTGTCAGCTTATAACTAGACTGCGGAAGTTTATGCAAATTCACAATTTCAAATACTAGTATCTAAAAATTCAAATGTGATAGAATTTTGAATTTTACACTAGAGCCTTTACTGCGTTAATAATAATACACAAATGGTATTAAACTTCATTAAAATCTTAATTTTATTATATTTTTCAGGTTAAGTGACGCTGTAAATGCATAAACATTTGCAGTCTATTTATAAATGACGTGGTATAGATCATTAAAACATAGAAGACCAATGATTCTCTCTATTGGTGGTTGGCTAGACCATGTTTTTTGCGACAAGAATCATCCAAGCACTATCATCCTCAAATGATTCTTGCCGCTCGTACGTAGGAGCGTTATCTATGCTGCGCTGCTAAAGCTAATTGACGTGTCTGCAAATACTTTGTTTTGAGAAAAGAGTAATCTAGTACTTTTAATAATGCCAGCCATATGTTAAATGTTTTTTGTAATAAACAAAGTACCTACCTACGCTAATTTTGTTGCAACTTTGAAGTCAGTTGAAATTATTTATAACCAGATACGTTCATTTGTTTTACATCAACAGCTAATCAATGAGGATATATAAAATTTTCGTAAATAGTTACGTGGATAAAAAGAATAGACAGAGCTTTTTACGTTAAGAATAACTTAAAAAATAATATTTAGTATCTAAATTGCTCATAACCCGAAATACGTCAAAATTGCAAATACATCAGTTAGCGTTAGCGGGACAGTATGGTCCTAGTAAAATAATTCTTGCCGCTCGTAAACTGATAGCTTTTAACCGATGTGATATGGATCATTAAAACAAAAGGGACCAATGATTCTCTTTACTGGTGGTTGGCTAGCCCATGTCCCTTACGGCAAGCATCTTCCAAGCACCATTCATATTACCCTCGGAAAATTCTTACCACTTGTAGGTTAAAGGCTTATGATCCTACCGGTAAGAATTAATAACGCAAGATGTCTACTAGTTTAGAGTAATTGTTGCCGCTCGTAATCCGATAGTTTATAATCGTCGCGGTATAAATCATTGGACCATAACGCACCAATGATTCTTTCCGGTCAGACCTGGCAGGTAGAAGCGGCACGAATCACTGCAGCACGGTGTACGCGTCGCCCACCGACGCTAAAGCGAACGAAGAGGGACGCCTATACCTGCGAGACCAGGTGCATCGGCCTGAAGCACAACGGGGAAAATTATTGATTTTCGTTTACCCGGAGAGCAGGTAGTGTCCCGTGCTGGCAACGCCGTCCCTTGGCACGAGTGGGACGCCCTGCATTCGAAGACAGTGGCCTTAGGTCAGTGAGCCCGGTGCCATCGTGACACCGTGGAAATCGAATGTGGAGGCACGAAATCCTCTTATCACCAACCGAACTGCAGTTTTTTCTGTCTCGCGGTTCGTGTTTGAGGCGGTTAACCCCTCAGGGCCACGCAATTTTTTCCGCGGTGAACACTCTTAGCTTAGTTCGTAACTTTCGTTCTTTGATGAAGACTGCGGATACTCGTTCTATAGGAAATTGTAATTAATTCTCTAAAAACCGAATTTATTTATCAAGTACGAAAAAATATCTTGCTTTGGATGTACGTAAATCGAAAAACTAATATAGTTTTTTTTTTAGTATTTTATTTTGCTATAAATATTTTTAGTGTCTCTGGTGAAAGCTTTTGTTAAACTTCAAATTAAATGAAAATTTGACTAAAATCTGTTAGAGTTTTCAATATTTCTATATAATCTACAATCTACTAATTTGTATTTTCTGCTACGTTTATATAGAAAGAGAGATTTAAACTTCAAGGAATAGACTTACTTGGGCTAAGTAATTACTTCTAAGTAATTACTTCTTAATGGATCTGGGATCGGGAGAGAAATTTTTATTGCATACACTAGAATATTTAGAGCGGTGCTCCACCAATAAAATATATATTAAACGATTCCGGAGAATGCCACAGGTCGATAATATCGATGCACTTGGCGCAAAGTCGAAATTCAAAATGGAGGACATCTCGGAGCGAAGAGTGTCTCAACAAGTACACCTACTTCCGTGAAATCTGAACTCGTGATAGTACTTATTACACAGCAAATTCCGTGTTTTAGTCTTGAGAAATCGAAACAATAACATTGACAGATACCATCCGTATCTAATCTTTACGTTTCTCGAACATGCAATGCTTTTCGTAGATCTATGCGATATGCTTAATTAACAAGCCTGACTGTTTAATCGGTCCTCCGCATTGACAATATTTGTTCTCGCGCGATAAGTTAGATGCATCATAATCACAGACAACCGATGATTAATTCGTTGCACCTTTTGTATAGTGAAAAAAAAATTAGAACAACGATCATCGTCACGAATAATTCCGTTTTCCATTTGAGCATTGAAAGCGATGTGATAAGCGAAACCGAGATTTATCGCACCTGGCTCGATTGAACGGTACATGCTTTTCCAAAACATTGTTTCAAAGTTTTACGTTTTCCTTGACACCTTTCGAAGTCTTTGAAAACGTCCACTCGCGGTCGACATACCGTAACCGATTCTTATGATTTACGTACCTTGATGATGAAGGTTAAAAATATTTTACTTGCTTAACTATTTTTGCTATCGAGCGTCAGCCATTTTTTTTCGGACGTCAAAGAAACGAGAGATAATGTTACAGCATTTCTCAGCGTTTCTCAGAAAAACAGATATATAATTTCTTGTTTTTGATATGGATGATGCGCACAGATTAGCATCAGTACAACTATTTAATTTCTGACGAAACGTAGACACAAATAAATTTTGATACCCGTTGCGGTGTAATATGAAACTATTCTTCGATGCTAATACAGATATGTTGACAGCGGATCTTTATGCATTTATAACGTACAACAATCTTAAAGATAAAATAAAGTACAAATTTAGGTGGAATTTAATAGAATTTCCTTTTATTTTTGATCTGCTAAAATCATCAATGTAGAAATGAACTTGCATTTGAGATTAGTGCTTTTAATTTTGTGTATAAAAATGTAAATTTCCATCAACATTTCTGTTTTTCACAATACGTTACTCGTTGCATGACAAAATTTAACGATTCAGGAAGATAATACACGCTAACGATATAAAATATAGCGGAAAAGGGCGTAGATCTTGATAGTCAAATGCCCAACGAAATGATCTATAAAATTTATCAGTCTCTATTGCACGTTCAGAGATTTACGAAATCATTAGCGAACGTTACGATGTTAATCACAATTAAATGAATAACAGTTTAAAATTAAAAAAATAAGATAATAGTCATGAGACAGATATAAATGTTTTAATATCATATTCAAATTAGCTACCGTAAGAAAGTTCGAAGAAAGAAGAAATGCACGTGGCGCGGTGACCAATTTCTTAAAATCACATTTAAATTAACGTTAGAAGTTTCACCACAATATAAAAACCGAAAGAAAATGCATGGGGCTCGAGAAATACTTTTCACAATTAAAAAATAATTTACCTAATGTCAGTCACCGTTAAGTTAATCCAAATTATTGCTATTGCCCCTATTTCGATACTAAATGGAATTAGACCATATGAAATGACAGATTCCTTAGAGTCACATTCAAATTAATGACCTTAAGAAACCTGACCAATGTATAGAAATCGAAAGAAGAATTATTGGGCCTTAAGAGCGATCAATATAAATCACTTTTTAAAAGGAATTGTAAGAAATATTTTATTCAATACCACTCACAATTAGGTTAATCTACATTAGTTACTACTGCTTCTGTTTCGACACTAAATCGGATCAGACCGTTACGGCTGAATATTTCACCAACCAACCCGCATAATACATAATAAACGATCTAATACAAATTTAACAACGGAAAGCGCTGTGTATCGTACCAGATACTTATTTCCAATCAGTTTATATAAAATTATTAATGGTCCAGCACGAAAGAAAAAGACTCACCGTTTTGGATCGAGTAGTCCCACTGGTTCTTGTCCTCCATCATGGTGAACGAGGGATGGTTTTGTCGGAAATTGAGATCCGAGAAATTTAGATCCGAGTAGAGTTTGTACCGGGTCGTCTTGTATGCTGTCGGTCCTCGAACGAGTCAAACAATTCACTTCGACGATCGTTCAATTTCTACCGCGTGAAATTATCACCGCGAAAACGCTCGTATGCACCACCCCAGCGATTTAAACTCGAAATAAAATCGGTGGACCGTTGGCCGAACAACTGCAAGCGGTCGCGCGTCGTGTTCTGTCTCCTCTGTGTTCAAAACAGGTTACGCAAAGGAGTCGGTCGCACTTGTATTTACTTCGAGACGACTCGAATAAATAGTTTCTTATTCGCGTTTCTTTTTTTCTCAGGCTTAAAAAACGAAAGGTCGCCAACCCTCGTACGATCGTGGACGAATGTGACGCCGGCCGGCCGATCACTGGATTTTATACGACAGTTGGTCACGTGACGCTTATTATGGCGAAAAGGTGGACCGCGCATGCGCCAGGACTTGTTTACACGTGCACCGCGATACCGCCCCACCATGTGCAGATCAGCACGTGCTTCGTGGCGATCGGTGTCAACGATTTTTGGCAGTTCCAGCTTCCTAATTGCTCACACGCTACCGTTCCAAATTTTCCGATCACTTGCTGGACGAATGGTCAATCTAGATTTATTGCCTTTTTTTAAACGAATAATACATAAATAGTTACATGACCTTTTCAGTCAAAACACGACGTCTTAGTATTTTCTACTGCACTAATGTGAAACATAATACAGTGCAACAGAATATTTATCGTTATATCTTTGCTTTCGATGTCAAGAAGGTTATTAGGATTCTATTAGATAGAATCGTATTTGAAAATTCACAATTTCAGAAATTGATATAGTACAATAATAAAATTTGGACAAAATTTTATTTTGTCATAACTTCATAATAATTAAAAGCATACAAATTTTATTTCCTAACCTTACTGCAATTTTCATTTTAATACCTTCTGCGGATTAGAAAATGTTATAAACATATAAACATCCGCAGTCTAATAATTAGAATTGAGTGAAATGTAAAGACTATAGTTATATTTTTTTTTTTTTTTTCTATTGTTATTCTGTTTAAAATGTACTGATAATGAGCCGACTTATGTGGATACATTTTTTTATAGTATTAGATATATCAACACAGAGGACGATAACAGTGTTTTGTTTATCGTGGATTACATTGTATGACTACAGAAAGATGATATAGCTGATAACTTACAATGATGTGTACATTATGCCACGTTCTTCTAAAAGTTATGAATATGATCATCGATCCCAAACTTTGGGACAGAGTAAGGTATATCGATCGAGTGAACCACTTTGGCGAAATTAATGGTGTATCTACGATTCTCTGAAAGGCTATTCAGGGTTTTTACGTTAGCGACCGAAATGCACGTACTTAACTGTCAATGTTATCGGGTTCGATGCAAAAAGCTTGTTTTATTAAACAATACTATAGTTAATGGAATGACATAATTGCAAAGTAATTTCAATGGGACATGAGTCACCTTTCTTCATATACATATGTACAAAGAACGAGAGACAATTGTGTCTTTTGCATATTATACGTAAACATTAGTAAACTGGATGCTGTACATTTACTACATACACGATTTCCTGAAATTCAATCTATTCAGATGTGTAATAGACTCAACATAAGTTTCATTATCATTGATGTAAAATCTAAACCTTCGTCATCTACGTGAAATCGTCTTATAGAACGATAAGGAAACACCCATCATAAAAAAAATCATATACGAGCTTCTATAAATCCACACAGCAACTTCATTCCCGCTACATATGGCGACCGCCCTAATCCTTATAGAACGATAAGGAAACACCCATCATAAAAAAAATCATATACGAGCTTCTATAAATCCACCTGAATACTTGTTGTCAGCTTTTAAAATCGTTTCACTATTCAATAACATAACCTCGTTAATTCGAAACTCGCGCGATAACCAAAATGCATTATCAACATAGAATAGAAGACTCGATCAAAGCAGACATTAGATTAATCGAACACGGCTTCTATATTTTATTTTCTGAGTATAGGTACTATATTAATCTTACCTACCTGCATGTCATTTTCACGTTAATGGAATTGTTTATCAATCAACCTGTTAACCCAGGCAGACAAATTAACCCGTTCACTTTACACACTATCTTTCTTCGAACTTCCGATTTTTTATTTGTTCGGTTAAATATTCCCGTATTTACCTCTGTCATGCAATCAGCAATAGCATATAGGCTATGTCAGCATGCATTGCTGAATTGGATGCATCCAACCGTTCGTATTCATCCTCCATTTGCACATACGTAGATAAATTTGTAATCGAAAAACTTCCTGTTGGACTAGTTAATATGTAATTAGCATGGAAGATTATACACTACAAAGTATAGCTCTTTTTGTAAACAGACGAGTGGATATAACGCTCGAGGCGACGCGCATGCACCACCCGTAGATGACATGGACTGGTTTATTGCTCTCGTTGGAGATCCCTAATCTGATAACAGGACTATTAGTCAGCATGTGAATCGAACCCTTCTGTGATCCAAGCTTCGATCGTTCCCAGCATAAGTTCACCGGGTGACAGGAAATCCCCGTCTAGACAGCTTTTTTGGCAGCCTAGGTGTATTTAAAACTCGAACGTTCATGCACCATCATCGATGAGAACTGATCTTCTACGTCAACTTTCATTGGAACCTTCCTGGATCATCAGATCTACATGTAAAAAACTGATAATTAAACAGGTTTGCAACGTTTGTCGTACGTAATCTTGTCTGTAGATAAATATTGTTAAGAAAAAAAATAGAAATTACTGATGGTTTTGAGAAAATATCATTTAGGGACTCTCAACTCTCGATACACCGTGTTTACTCTAATGTGAGACTCAAAAATGGCGTAAAATATTGCACCTCCACGAGAAAAGTGTTACAAATGAAAAATATTTAATTTTCATTTTATCGTGCGGAATATCTTCTTAAAGTAACGTAGATCCACTATCCAGTAAAATGTCATACATAATTTGAAGTCCAATACTGCACGTGAAATGGCACTGGTATCACTCTGTTTAATTGTACATGAAATGCTACGTGATGAATCAGTTTCTTTTCGCTGTCCTGAAAAATTGCATGTTTTCGCCTTGTGATATTTTTTTTGTGGGGTTGCGACGAGTAATGTATATAAAAGCTCACATTTTCATCACACACGATGGTTGTTCGAATATTTATAAGCGGGAGTGCAGTCAGAAGATTTAAAAACTTGCAAAGAAATCCGCCTTGATAACCAATTGTGTGCAAGTTCGAGCAAATTGCCAGAAAATATTGACAAAAATGTAAAAAACCATAGCGATATGTTTCCGCATTTGAATTGGGTTTTGCAGGCAAAGCCTACTGACAAAATGGTAAAGAGAATTGGCAGCAAATTAAGCAAATCTTTCAACACAAACCAGGCTAACTGACCCAGGTCAATTTATAACTTAAGGTATATTGCAAAACTTGCTGCTAATCTGCTGCCAATCTCCGTGAATGTTGTCGATAGCAGATTTTACATGAAACTTGTAGTCATGTTGAGTACGTAACCTTATATGTAACAGGCATTGGACAAAATTTGGCTTTGCAGGTTTAGTTGACTGGGCGGCTATTTACGTTCGGTTAAAAGTCGCAATCTAATTACACAACATAATACTCCATCGCAGGTGTAATATTAGTACTAGTCATTGACGCGTTCGTTATCATCGTGCAGTTAAAAATCCGTGTTTTGTTTTCAATATGACTGTAACGTCGGCTCTCATAAAAATTGGTGCGTCATACACCACATATGTACAATGTGACGCGTGGTAGTGTTAAAGTCACCGCGACTTTAACCTCACAGCTCGAACAGACTGTAGATCTAGTTAATGTGTAATCCAAGATCAACTATTTACATCGTGCTAAAATACATCCGGGAAACGGAAGAAAAGTGCAACGTTCGATTTTATACAAACTCCTCAGTGTATACAAACGAGAAGCTGCCCGTGGAACTGTCTCGGGCGTCCCTTGCCACTTTAATTTCATCAAGCTCGGATAACATTGTCACGTCAGTGTTATGTCATGGAACGTGGCCGATGCATCGCCGTTTCCTCTTCATTATACCAATAAACGAACCGGCCGCACTCCCGATGGGCCCAATAAAAATTAATGAATTTCGAGCAAATTCCATCGTGAAACGTCACTGGGCGTTCCACTCGTTCTAGGGTTTAATTCTCTGTTTACTACGATTGTTTTCCTGATCTTTCCATCCTAAACGTCAAGGAATAAACATCGTTGCACGTGTAACTGGATGTGCATTGAGTCGGACATAGGAAAAGCTACGTCGAGACAAGGACATCGATTACTCGTACACGGAAGAGAAATTTTCTTCCGTTGGCAATGGTGGATTGTAGAAATCAGGAACACATTGATAAGTTGAATTAAAGTCTTTCAGTGGTTAGAAGGTGAATGCCACGATAGAAACAATCGAAACGTGCAGATGCTAATAGTTCTTTTTAACAAGTGGTTCGTGCGTAATGATTGCTCAATTAAGGTTGGCGCAATTGACCATTACTGGCTGTAGTCACAGTAGTTTCATTAAACTTGTTTCTTTCTTTCAGTTAAGCGTGCAAACTCACCTTGTCTATGTTTCTCGATTAAGTAGTATGTATGTCGTTGGTTAACTGTGATAGCGAAAAATCTTTTCAGGAATGTGGCTATATCAACGCTATCGGTAATTCTACAATCAGATTTTTCACGTTCGTTGATGTGCTCGATTATTCAATTGTTAAAGAACGGCATGAATAATCTACTTTGCACTTTAATTCCGACTGTCGCGGACGGGAAACGACGTTCCGTTCGAATTCCTATGCGAGTTTTACGTAATTGTCATTTTCATCGTCCTTCATGGCAATTAGACGGCTCGTATTAAACATTACCCTATGATTTTCGAGTTTTCATTAGTAACAGAGTCCATCTTCCATTTGTTTCCCATCACGATTGATACTTTAAGTCTATTGTTATGCACATTAGTCATTAAGGCATGCGACGAACGCGTTAAAAATGCTAATAAGATACGTAATATCGATCTTTGGATTACTTACAGCAGTTACTTCATTTATTTCCATAATCTATTTGTTGCACTCGATGTTTGCTTCTCGTATTTCAAGATCAAAACACCAGGAAACTGTCTATCGTAGTGTTGTAACGAAGCGAAAGGTCACGCTATGGTGAGATGTACTGATATAAATTAGCACTTGTGTTTTTAATATTTTCATTAACCATAATATTATTGTGTCAAAGGTGTCGGAGCTACGTCAAACTGATATACAGTA